CCAAATTATGCTAATGAACCACGCTCGTTCCATTTGAAAAAATTGAGATATGATTAAAAATACGATTTGAGCATTTTCTAACTGGCTAACTGGCTAACTGGATAAGACATTAACAACATTAGACGATCCAATCTATTTTTCCAAGGCTCCTTGATTAATAATTAATATTTTTTAACATAGCCATGGCACTCTATAATTTTTTATTAAGCGAGAATGTCAAAAGATGACATATGATATTATGTCATTCTATTCAGAATGTCATTTTCTATCGAACAAAGTAAAAAAATATCGAGGGTGTCATTTAATAATTACAAGTTTTAGTCATTTCCGGTGAAACAGGAAGTGACTAAAAACAATTAAATAAGTCAATCAATCCTAATTTATGTCATATACTAACATACCAAATCTCGTTTTTGTATTTGAAAAAATAAAAAAGTTATAGGGGTGAGCCACTTTTGATACGCATGCGGTATGCTTTTGGACTAAATCAAATATTGCAGCATCTATGTAACGCTAAAAGTAAAAGGGTCTTCTATTTTTTGGAAACTTTGTCTACAAGGGTATATTTATTACAACATCGTTAAACAAGGAAATTAGTAAACTAATTTGCCGTCAAGGGATTCGAAATACAACCCCTCGCTTCACAAAGAAGAAAAAAGAAAACGCTTTTTAACTCGCTCTATTAAAAAAACTGAAAAAATGAGCGCCACTTAATTGATGCTTCATTTTTTAATTAACGTAAAAATAACAATTTACCGCTCTTAAAATTTCAAATTAACTTTTTATTGTGTAAGCAAAAACATAATTAACTTTATAACGTGGAAAGACTAATACGTGGCGAATGCGCAAAAGAAAGAAAAAATTCAATTTTTGAAGTAATAAAGCGAAATAGGCAGTCGTTTTAATTAAAAATTTGAAAAGTTTTCCGCTTTTTTTTTGTGTGTTGTTTCAGCGGAAGGCTAAGTAATTTGCCGTAGAAAAAATAGCGATACGAATTTAGAGAGGGCCACTTAGAAAGTTTGCAAAACGAGCTATTTTTGAAAATGAACAAAATTAATTTAATTGAAGTTTTATTATCGAAAAAAAGGATATGATATTCATTTATTTGGAAACCATCTGAGATAAAGAAAAAAATTATTTTAAAATTTTATTTTTAGATATTATTACTTTTTACGTTAATGAATAATTCATAATATGTCATTCTGAAATCAAATTAATTATGAAGTTTATGGTTGCTAGGGTAATTGTTATCGCTTCAGTGTTAAGATTAAATCACGTGACTTACTTTTAGCACCAGTGCTAAAAGTAAATGACTTTACCATTAGTGACATAATGTCACATTTTAGGCACTGACAGCAGGCGTTAAAATTACATTTTTACTTACGTTTGTAGAAAAAAATAATTTTTAATTGCATTTTTTAACAAGTAAAAAAAATCGGTACCGAAAGAACCGAGTATTTTTATTTCGAGTCCCGGTTCTTTGACGTCTCAAAAGAATACCGGTACTGGAAATCGCGGTACCGAAAGTACCGGGAATTCCCGGTTCTGAACCCTAGTATTACTGGATATTATTCAACATAACTTTATGTTCTTTTTTCAGATCAAGAACCGGCCTAACGGCCCTATGATGACGATGGACGTGTCCAAAACCGAGGGTGGTACAAAGACCGCTAACTCGAGCGCATCACCTCAAGAATGCGCTGGATGCTGCAAGCCCATCACCGAGCGCTACCTCCTCAAAGCCCTCGACATGTTCTGGCACGAGGACTGCCTCAAGTGCGGTTGCTGCGACTGCCGGCTGGGCGAAGTCGGATCGACGCTCTACACCAAAGCTAATTTGATACTGTGCAAAAGGGACTATTTGAGACTGTTCGGCAACACTGGCTATTGTGCGGCCTGTAGTAAAGTTATACCGGCGTTCGAGATGGTGATGAGGGCGAGAAGTAACGTGTACCATTTGGAGTGTTTCGCTTGTCAGCAGTGTAATCACAGGTAAGTCAAAGCTCAATAGTTTTGAACAATAATTAATTTTAATTAATTGTCTGACTATAGTAATTGTCCGATACTATAATCTAAATGATTGTTCTTCTTCAATATTAGTCGAAGGAATAGTAAAGTACTCTTTTTTAAAATTATAAATTAATTTGAAACTCCAGTTTTGTAAGATTTGTTGGACGTTTCTCTCGCCAACAAGGACAGATCGATGTCATTGTAACAGTTTCCTTTTTCGATACACACTTAACTAAAATACACGTCACTGTGCTGCCTTACTTGTACATCCTATTATAATAACAGCTAAATTAACAGTCCCCATTTCTAACACATTATTTTCATCACAATTTGAACCATTTTATTAAAAAAAAAACTTTGAAAAGCGCACATTACTTTGAATACCTTTCTGAATGAATAAATGTTGAGAATTATTGTCTCTTATCGCCACTTTACGAACTACTTTTAATCTAAGAAAATACATGTTTCCCTCAACAATTTAAATACGTATTTTGTTTTGTAACGTTTTTAGTTCGTTACATGTCTTTCATATATAATGTATGATGTCTGGTGTATCATCACCGGAGTCCGTATCGCTAAGGCCTGATAATTTACTTGACGCGCCTGGCGTAATTTTTACGTTCTCTAGTCAGCAACCCTGTTATCGTTTCACTGCTTCTGTGGAGGGCTGTCAAGATCGTTTCAAGGCGCCTCTCTGCGCTTTAACCTCACTTTTGGTCACTCGGCTTTTAGAAATGGTAATTATTTAAATCTTGCTGCATAATCTGAATCAGTTGCTATTTCGAAGCTACAGGTAAAGATGAGATATTATACTTTTTAGATTCGATATTATTACTGCATACTTTCAGGGTAGAGTTTGGGATTAGCCTCAACCTTAACTCGTATTTGGTGTTTGCTGGCACATTGGTTTTCTATGTCCTCCAGAATGTCAAATGGAAGAAAGGACAGTTTCTGTGTTTATTATTAAGCCCTCGGAAGTATTTCGAGGTAGGTTTATTTTGTTTATTAGACCTTGTTTGGTTTTAAACAAGAGTTTCATATATTTTTAGGGTCCAAGGTATGGGCAGGTGTCCCGTATAATATGTATTGATTCCAAGGTACGGACTGTGTCCAAGTTACGGATATTATCTTATGGTTGGATGTCTAAGGTATGGACGGATGTTCAAGGTACGGGCATTATCCAAGGTCCTAGTAGTGTTCCAAGGTACGGGTAGTGTTCCTATATACAGATTTCCTATGGACAGGTGTCCCATGTACGAGATACCACAGTATGGATGTGGCGTAGGCCCCATGCTGCTTCGTTCCTGTTTTTAAGCCTAGTCAATAGTTACGGCTGTATTGGTTCATGGTGTCCTCATCCTGGCCCCTTTTGTTGCATTGGCCGAGAGAGAGTACAGAGATACGAGTCCCACCTCACGCTGCTACTCTTTGAAACAGGATTGCTTTAAGAACAAACAGCTAACTTTAGATTTAATTTCTGGTTTTTATGTGTTACATTTTCAGTCTTAAAACAGTAAAGTACATCTTAAATAATATCGTACAGACTTTACGTTTAGTGGTTAAATTGTTTATGTCAGAATTTTGACAGATGAATAACCGAACCGATTCTAGAATCTACGGGTTGCAACATCTCAGATTTAACATCGTATAAAATA